CCCCTCATTTGAGGTGCGCGACCATTAGGTCACAAGTTGGTGGAGTTCACGGCGGTGGTAGGGCTCGAAGCCCTGACCTCCGCCTCACCCAAACCCTAAAACTTGGGGCCAACCAATTGGCCACAGGCCTGGTTGGCGTTAGAAATATCTTTCGTCTTTGAATTCTAATACCAATTTACATTACTGTCCTCATTTGGTGAGGCTCCTGGCAATAATTGTAATTTGTAAAGGTTAAGATTCACTTAACAAAATTTTAATTTTTTGTGATACTAAACAATTAATTTTTATAAGTGAAAAAAAGAGTTAAGATTCAAAAACCTTAATATGAGTTTCTTTTTTAACCTCAATATGAGTTTTGGATGTGCAGGAATCAGGATATACCCATTAATACAACATAGAATATAAGTAATACTCACTTAGTTTTGAAATACTTTATTTATCTTTTAATAAAAAAATTTTCCTTTTTGTAAATAGATTAAAAGTAATTGAGGCATATATAATATAACATCATTTGATAATTTTTTGTAAACTTTCTCCTTTTTAATGTCTTCTAAAAATAATAATGTAGAACAATAAAGCTAATATCAATTGATAATTTCTTTTGGGTGCATAATATCAATATTGGATAATAAGTAATCTAACTTATGTTATATTTAAATTTACAGATTTTGTTACCAAATTTATATGAGATTTCTAACATCAAAAAATGGTGTTTATATCAGATATTTTTGCTTAATACAACTCAAGTGATAGTTACTAATATATTTATTTTTTGAGATTTTGGCAATTTTTTTCTTGAATTTTTCTTTTTTCTAAGGGGATAGGGAACGGAAGATATGGTCGGTGTGTTTCTCACAAGGGGAGAAAGACAGCAAGTAGCATGCTACTTACTCTCTGCAGCGTGGAACGCAGTAAGGGCAAATATATTAGCCTTGGGGCGTCCAGACATTGGTAATTATCAAGCAGATAATTATAATTTGGATACCGATTGATATATGTCTTTCAATTCAAAATATTAAATAATATATTTATTAAAAAATTATTATTTTAAATTTAATATTAAAAATAAATAAATTTAAAAGTATAATAATGATATATGTAATTAAAATTGATTAAATCAATTATATTTTTATTTTTATTTTTTAATAATTAAATCACACTATTTACACCTAAAAATAAACCAATTAGAGAAGGTAACATGTCAAGTTGAAGCCCAATTATCAAAAAAAGTCAACAAATTGGATTTGGGTTAGGTTGAATTACAATTTAAGGGTCCAGATGGAATTTTGAAGAAGCTAGATTTCAAGTGGTAGAAGATAAAATAATTTATGATGTTTGAGGTTGATTTAAAGTACAAAGTTAAGAGTTTTTAGGAGAAGGTTATCTATAGGGTTTTATTGGAGATAAGATTGAATAAACACTGTCAACTGCCAAACATCTGCCAGACATGGAACCTCACTACTCGATCATAGTGGGAGAGGGCTGAGAAACATTGAGGAGGTTTCCCAACACCGAAGAAAATAAAAACAAGAGGAAAAAATTAGTTCCAGACGGCCTGCTTGACACACATTGCCCAAAGCATATGTTTTTCAACTTTCAGACTGTTTTTTCCAGATTTCAACATAGTTTCCAAATTAGTTTGCAAGATATGTTTTTTGTTCATAGCTTTAATTTAGGTTTTTTCCATTCTTGTTCATATCTTTCCTCAAAAATTTCAACTTACGTTAGTTTTTAAGCATTTGGAACCAGATCAGCCTTGAGAACGAGCTTGTCTCATTGATTTGGTCAGTTCCTCTTTCTCTTATGGATTCATCTATGTTATTCATTCATGTAAATAGGTTAAATGCTTTCTGTCTTCTTTTCCTTGTATTTGCGTAACTGTCAGACCTGCAGTTTACTCAATTTCAATTTCTAGATTTAATTTTACAAGTTTCCAGACTTTAATTTTTCATAGATTCTTCTTCAGTTGTAGTTATCAAGTAGTTTAGTTATTTTTATTTTAAATTTGCAAGTAATTAGTTTAATTGTTATGAATTGCGTAATGGAAATTGTTGTCTGTGATTTTACATTTTCTATTGTCTACGAGTTTTATTTTTGTGGCATGTCTTTTATTGATCTCCTGTTAGATTAATTGCCTTAGGATTTTGTGTTAATTTTAGTATTTGTAGCTTTTATTACACTTTTGTGGTTATAAAGTCCTTGGATATTTCTAAGGCAATTAGTAACTCATTTTGCAAAACTCCACCCTCTGTTTTGCAATATCGTCTAGGGCGCAATTTATTTCACAGACGTCCTTTCCAGCCATCCTATTGGAGGTCGATCGTTGGAAAGGAGAAGGGTCGTCTTGTTTTTAGACAAAGCAAGTGGCATGCCTAACATCCAAACTCATGTGGTCAAGGCCAGCTAAGGATTTTTGGAGAAACAATCCTTTTTTGACATACCTGGTGGGACCAGCAGTAGGGTGTATCAGTTAAGGTTCACGGATCCTCTATTTATACTTCTAAAGGCGTCTAGAGCCATGCCACCAAGAAAGAAAGAGCAAAGATGAAGAGGTTCAGCAAGCCCATGTTGCACATGCAGCTGACAGTCCAGTCTACTCGGAGGGTGAGAATTACCTAGTTATCCCTTTCTTCCAACCACAAGTTCCATTAGCCCAGCCGTTACAACGCAGTTTGCAGAATCAACCAGCTCAACTATTCAATAGAGATCAGCTAATAGATCTGGTACATGAGACCCATGGGCCAGCCTTGAGGCCATTGGAAAATATTGATAAAGGCATCCTAAAATTTCCAAACAAGGCAAAGGAAACCATGGGAGTAGACACGAATCCTTTTCTAGCTGTGTCTGTTGGTGTGAATGTTGTAAACCTGAGGAGTGTTGCCAAAAATCATAGTTGGCCTTATGCTCAAAGGAACCTTGCTGCTGAAGACCTGAGATGGGTTATTGAAACGCAAAGATCCAAACATAGTAAAAGCATCAGGTCAGACCGACAGAGACTCGAAGGGTAAGGAAGGATCATTGTGACTAGGAACTTCAGCCTAGAAAGTACCAGACCTCACTCAGTTGGTTTTAGATCTCCAAGGATGGTTAAACCACCATTCAGGTCACCTTCCAGACAATGGGAAAAAGTCAGTCATCCAAAGTTTCCAACTCATATTCCCAGAACCTTAAGGTGCAAACTGTAGCACAAGAGGGCTGAAAAGCGGAAAAGGCAATAGAAGCAAGTAGAGGCTGAGGAAAGTTCATCTCGCAGACCACACCAACCTACCAAAAGGAACATGGTGTGGGTGAGAAAAAAGAAAAAGGAAGCTGTAACCCAGACTTTACTAGAGGGGGAGGACCAATCTCCAACCTCTCCGAAGGTGTCATCTATCATTATGGGTGCAGATGGAATGTTTAAAGCAACTTTTGAAGCACAGGAACAATTTGGAAATCCTGGAGGTGGATCAAAAGAAGATAGCACTATTCATTTTGAGAACTTTTCAGTGCATTTGTCATGTCTGGTACTGACACTACCCTTGGTTTTTCAAGCTAAAAGTGAGAAAGGATCAGTTTTCTATGAGTTCCTATAACAGATAGAAGAAGAGGCAATCATGGTTCCAGCCCAAGATGCTGAAAGGAAGACATGGCTGACAAAATAGTGTTTGAAAAACCAAAAGAAAATATGGCCAGACACATTAGGCCACTTTATATCAATGCTCACATGGATGGAACTCCAATCAACCATGTCTTGGTGGATAACAGAGCTGTAGTCAATGTCCTTCCAACTTGCATGCTTTACAAAATAGGCAAGTCTCTTGTTGATTTAGTGCATACCGATGTTACAATTAATGATGTTACAAAAAGGGTGAATCGTTCAAGGGGTGTACTGCCTATTGAATTAACAGTGGGAAATAAGACACCAATGTCTATGTTTTTTGTGAGGGACACTATTGCTACTTACAATGCATTTTTGGGGTGTGACTGGATTCATTCAAGTTGGTGTGCCCTTTTACACTTCACCAGAAGCTGATTTTCTAGAATGGTGGCAAGGCTAAAGTGGTGTCTGCAGATGATAAGCCTTTTTCAGCCATACTCACCTAGTGGAAGCTAGATATTATGAAAAAAAAACATTGGTACCATTCAGTTTTTTGGGATGGATAGACATGGGAAACCGATTGGAATAACAACATGTAGCAGACCGTCATTATCTAAGCGTGTCATAAAGGAAGTCTATGATGAACTTCTTTGGCCAACAGCAATAACCCCTTATAAGTCGAAAGGGAAACTAAAAATTGAAGAAATCTAATGAAGAAAGCTCGTTTGAGAAAAAAAAAAAAAAAAAAAAGGGTTGTGTTGGAGAAAACAAAGAAATTAACGACCTACTTTGTTGAAAAAATAGTACATGCAGACAAATCTGAAATTGTTCATGAAGGTGACTAGGTAGAGTAAGGTGATGAAATAACTTCGGAGGAGCTGGATTTTGTCTCAGCCAAATTGGATTACCTGAAAGCTAAAGTTCAAGACCCATTGGAGGAGATTAATCTTGGGTATGAAGGTGAGCCAAAGAAATGCCAGGTCTAGATCGTAAATTAGTGGAACATAAATTGCCAATTACAAAAGGATTCAAACCGTATAAATAGCCGCCCAGTCGCATGTCTGTAGAGGTCACCTTAAAGGTAAAAGAAGAAATTGAGCGATTGGTAAAGGCTGGATTCATCATGACAAGTAGATATGCAAAATGATTGTCAAATGTGGTGCCGGTGCTAGAACC